AATCCAAAAATGGCAAGGCCCTGTTTTGGAAATTGTCTATAAAATGTCAGCACTCAAGGATACATTGGGAGCATAAATAGTACAGCACAAGATTAGACTGTAAATGCATTTTTTCTGGTTCCAATTTTTCCTCTCCTGCTGTTGATTCTGTCAATAGATTGTGAGACTCCACCAACTTGCTTTCTCTTTGAAGTCCTTCCTTAAAATGATAGCACTAGGGAGAGATGAAAGGTGTCTACAGATGAGTAAACCATGCAGACTGATGATCATGTTCGGGGATGTCTCCTAAATTCGCTCCTTCCTGACTCTAAGCAGGTGGTTCCTGAGGAAGGCAGGCGTTTCAGTCAGGGTAACAAAGTGACAAGGGCAAGAACATACTCCATACACCAAGGATCCTCCAGTTCATCTGGCTGGAGTAATGAAATCTGACAGTCTCACCTTCTCAAAGATGTGCCCCTGCATGGAAGGTTAGAGCAGAGCCTTCCAACTTGTCTTGCTGGGAGTCGGGTCGGCTTCAGAGCAGATGGGACCTGAGACTGCTGTTCCTTCCTTCATGCGGAGAAAAGCAAAAGGGAGAGATTGTCAGGACAGTGATGCAAGACAGAGCAGGTGGGATTGCCTCAGAGAGGAGAATTGTGCAGAGCACAGGCACAGATCTCCTTCTCCATGGGGCAGCACTCAGGAGCCTGTGAGGAGGGCATCGGAAGGGGGAGGATGGAGCCCAAAGTTAGGTTCCAGGTAGGCATGGTGGGAAGGAAACCCAGACACAAGAGCAGGCAAGTAGAGATCCCTGCATCTCTGCAAGCCAGAGGGAGGGGTATTAGCACTGTCATTTGCTCAGCTATACTGTGGCCAAGACAGCCAGCAGGGAAAAGCGATTTGATTTCCTTTTCCCTAGCAGCACCACATGGATTTGGAAGCATGGGCAGTCCTCCTGGCGTTGTATTTCCAGCAGAGCTTTGCTGTATGCCAGCAGTGTCTCAGCATGTGAGAGAGGGGCTAATAATACTGGCCTGTGAGCCCTGAGCACTCCTGCCCAGAGCCTACATCTCTTGCAGACAGCATCGGGGGGGAGGGCTCCCTGGTTCTGCAAGGGAGTAACGTCACCCTCAAAGGGAACCTGAGACATGAGGAAACAGCTACTCCCGTGGTGAAAGGAGCAGGGCAATCGATTCATGCCCTTTGCTCTCAAGGCAAGGAACGTGCATGTTAATGCATGCTGAATTATTAACATTTCTCAATCTCAACCTTTATGCCTGTTGTGTTGCCTGCTCCCCTCTTTCGTCCCCATGGTCCCCCCAGTGAGCAGGAAACCAGTCTCTGTCCTTTCTCACTGTCCTATGGGATCCAGAGCACAGGCTCAGATTGCACTGAAACTCCAAGGTTTCACTTCACTTCCCAGGAAATGTTCTTTACAGGGAGGTGTGCTGAATAGTGCAGCAGCACAGAGCCCTTATGATGCCTATTCTTGGGATGAATGACAACGAATCTCATTTTTGACAGTCTGCTGGTTTAACTAAACCTCTGAATTATACTATTGTCCATTGAAATCATTTTAATATTCACAGCAATTTTCCCTGTTCTGTTCTTGCAAAACCTCCAAACCACCTCCTCTGATCTTTATCCAGAAAGAAGATTAAAAAAAAAATTTCAAATTCTTGTCAAGAAAATTGTAATAAAAAGAGAACTTTCATTGCAACAATAAATGAAGAACAACAAAAAATTCTGGAGCACTTAAGGTAGCATCATGGGCTGTGCTAGCCCATGTGATTGGACTTGTAAATTGGACAGAAATTAGAGGAATGCTGCTTTTTGAGGACTTATACTGATTTAAATTATTACTAGACTCTTATGCTAGAAAAGCAAGCAACTTAAATTGTTGGCTTGAGCCTGAGGAATGTGTTGATGGTGCTCTGCAAGCTGCTGTGAGAGCTTTGCCAGCTCTCACTAATGCTAACTGACAGCATCTCCCCTTCTCCCTCTGTACGGACTGGGATGAGAAGCTGCCAATTATCCCCAAGAAGATGGGAGGCTGATGGAGCCCGTCCTGTCCCTTGCACGTGCCCTTGCCAGAATATCAGCAGGGTCAGATCCCTACCAAAGGCATTGCTGACCCCCTCCCATCTCCCTTGTTGGGAGCTGAACCCTACATGTGGCATCCATTTTTAGCAGCTCTGCCGGTGTGCTAACAGAGGGATGCTGGCTGAGCTCTTCTGGATCACAAAAAGACACCCTAGAGGCCTGTTAAATCACTGGTCTGTTGCCACGCTTGAGAGTCGTGGCCCCACACGGCTTCCTGGCGCGCCACAAGCCGGGATGTGCCGGAGACATGTCCTGTGTCGAGGTGGTGACACTGCAGCCCGCCCACCCTCTTATATGGTATGATCTGCAGGAGAGCTTTCCTTGCCATTCATCCCTGCCCTAGGCACACAAACATATCAGCCACCTCCACTGCTCCCTTGAGGGCAGGACAGGGGAGAGACATTTGTGAAGGGGCATAGCCCTTCCCTTCACCCTGCAAAGCACTCCTGAGGGAACCCTCACCCCCTTTGAAGTGCATCTGTGCTGCCCACAGGGGAGCAGGGGCTGGTGGGCTGCCAGCTTCGGCGGGGAGAGGTGGCTACAGTGCCTATAGGCACTGCCTCTGTAGGACGTGTCAAGGGGACATGGCACGGATGGGGCTTGGCAAGGCCCCAGGAGCACCCTGAAAGCAGTGCTGAATACGGGGACACAGTGTGGGGTGCAGGGGAATCTGCAGTGGCCTGTGCTGCCTCTGGTCTTACCAAGGCTGAGAGTCAAAATCTGTTTGTGCACGCTGGGCTCTGACCTTCCTGCATGGTCTCTTATCCTTCAGGCTTATCTTCCCGTGTCCCTGTATGTGAGTACCTGTGCACTTTCCTTCTCCCTGTCCTGCCCTCACACGGCGTTTCTCTCTGACTCTTTAGCGGTCTCCAGTGCCTGCCAGCCTGTTTGTGTGGTGCATGTGCATGGGTGCTCTGCGCACCTATGGCTTTATCCTCAAAGCTTTTGCTCTTCTTTTATTTTAGTACAGCATGGGTGGGTGGGTTTGGTCCTTGGATGGGGACAGAATTCAAAGAGCTTCTACCTGAAATAATTCAACACCATATTCATTGGAAAACGAAACCTGACTCCTAACAAATGGTGCTGGGATGCTTTGGTTGGAAATACACACCATCATCTTAAACCATTGCCATGTCCATCAGGTTAACTGTATTCTCATGACTGCGTAGCACTTGAGTACACTTTCAGTTTTGTCTCATTTGGGGAGCACTGCTCCATCAGCCAGGTAACACCTCACTGGCAATTGCTCATGTAGTTATTGATTTAAGACTTAATAATTGATTAAAAGAGACAACCAGCAAGACTTTGGATTTAGACATTAAAAAAAAAAAGTAAAGCAAGTTATCCTTCCTGTGGTGGGTAAGGAGCTAGTGAACCCTGTTTTGTCACCAAGACAATGTGTAGTACACACACGATGTTGACAGTATTTGTGTAGTTTGTCACGAAATCTTAGCTCTGTTGTACATGATAACGTGGGGGTTTCTGTGTTCAGTCTATTTCTGCAAGCCTGTTGGTTTGGGGATGAATCATCAAAGAGAGCACTAGTGAAATTTGATTTGGGGAGAGTCAGCTTGGCAAGCAGAGCTGACACCTCTGCGGCAGGCCCAGTTGTCAGCAGCTTTACTGTCTGCAGAGACACCATGGCAGCAGGAGCCAGGCCAGTAGAGCCGTGTCCCCCCTGCACCCCCAGCACCGTGGGGCCAGTTGTGCCTGCAGCACATTGTGAGCTGGCAGCTCTCAGGCTTCTGCCCAGTTTTCACCGTCCCCCAGCACTGCGGCTGCTCCTCCAGCCTGATGCACTGATGGAGGAGCATAATTGGCAGGGGGAGGCTTCTCCGGAGCCGGTCAGTCGTGAACCCAGCCAATGCTTTGGGGCTGCCTTTCTGGTTGGAGGAGGCTAGAGGAGAGCAGGGATGCTGGGTAAGACACGTTCGAGCAGTTTCCCTTTTTAACAATAGACTAAAATGAGCTTGCCCAGAGGAGACAAAGATTTACCGAGCACAGTTGTTTCTCTACCCTTGCTTAAATAGGCCCATAACACTAACCCTGAAGAAGAGGCCCCATTTCTCAGTGTCATTTTCCTGACGGGAATGCATATGGCAGTCAGCTTTAGAGCTTTATTGTAGCTGAGAGTTGCTTACAAATAAGTCTTGAGTGAAATGCCCAGCAAGGGATTGATATGAAGAAAAGCTGTGCAATGAAATAAGGAGGAATACATCTCCCAAAGTGCTACCACAAAGGTGGGGAGGGTTCTGCCAGCCCAACTCTCTTCTGTCAAAATGGATATGATCTCACATTTGTCAGGATTAGTTCTCTCCTGCCCAGCAAGATGATCTGTTCAGATCCTGACAATGTCATGTAGCTCCGGTGACTATTTTTTCTGAGCCAAGATAGAACCTGAATTACATTTTGAAAGGAATTATATTTTATTTAGCAGCACATGTGCTAATTCAGAAAGAAACCTTTCTGCTGCTCCTGCCCAAACCCTGCGAGGTTTAGGGGATGAGTTGCTTTACTCTAGAGCTAGTAAATTGAGCAGGTAATTCCATTTTGCAGAGCTTCAGTGGGCCCTGCATAGAGAGTGTGTGACTGGCATTTGTGCATGCTCTCTAATTAAAGGAATGTTATTTAAATGGAGGAATGTTTCATGTTAGTAATATGATTTCAAAAGGCTATGCTTGGAGGGAATGGATTGAGCCATCCCTTAATGAGTTCTTCTAATAAAATGCCAGTGGCTAAGGAAGGAGAGCAAAGTGTGTGCAATTTGACAAAGCAGTGAACAGCTTTTGCACTTCGTTTTATTTGTCCCAAGGGATAGACAGGCAAAAACGTTGAACCCCCCTCACATACCCTCGCAGTGCAGATGAGTTCTCTCTGCTGGTTCTGTCACCCTACTAGCTGTCTCCTCCTTGTTGCAGTGCGGCGTGTTGCTCCTCGATTCTCCATCCCTCCAAGCAACCACGAGGTGATGCCTGGGGGGAGTGTGAACCTCACATGCGTGGCAGTAGGTGCTCCCATGCCTTACGTGAAGTGGATGGCTGGTGTGGAGGAACTGACCAAAGAGGATGAGATGCCTGTCGGTAGGCACGTCCTGGAGCTGAATAACATCATGCAGTCTGCCAACTACACCTGTGTGGCCATGTCTTCGCTCGGCATGATTGAAGCAACAGCCCAGATCACTGTCAAAGGTAAGGTGGTGGTGGTGCACCTAGTTGGGTTTCAAACATGTAGCCCTTTGTCAAAGGGTTTTTGGCCATAGCCAACTGATTACAGTCTCCTGTGACTCTTCCATCTTGCAAGTGAGATTCCCAAACACACAACTTTGTTTTTTTCCTACTCACAATATATTTGCTTTGGAGGTTGTGTCCTCTCTCCCTGTGTGTGGCATGATGGGAGGCAGGCTTGTGTCACTCTTATGCCGCAGAGGAACGTTGTTGAGTCTGCCCTCATCCCAGCAATTTCTGGCTTGTTCCATGCATCAGCAGGATCAGCGCATCAGCAGGCCACGGGGCTGTCCTGGGGCAGGGGTCTGTGGATGTCTGCAGTCAGAGAGAGTTTTTTGCACAGAGATCTCCTCTTGCAGTAAGGGCAGGACAAGAAGGTTAATCCCAGCAATGTGAAGTGTCTGTGGGCTTCACCAGAGTGAGCATCCTCACTGCCCTGCAGGGAGCAGCTGTATGCATTCGTTTTGAAATTGTTGCATATTCCTCTGTTGGTTCTCTTTTTTCCCTTACTGCTCTGCCTCTTT